AAAAGAAGTGGGTTTTTTTACCCTACAAAAGCTTATGCCCAAATAAATCTGTTAGTCTTTAAGGTGCCACCGGACTCCTCGTTGTTTTTTGTGGATACAAACTAACACAACTACCCCTCTGCTGGTTGTACACATACAGCTCCAGTGCAATAATACGGGACGGGGTGTGCAGTGATTGCGTTACGTATTCTCGGGTCAGCTGCACTGAACTGGGTCTGCGGGTGCAAGGTCAGCCCTGCATGTGAATTGGGAGGCAGGGACTTACAGCGCTGAAAAAACACCACCCAAGCAATTTGATCCCATACCCATTGAAATCAACAGCAAAGCTCCCATTGACTTAACAGTGCAGAATCGCACCCAAAGCGAACAAATCAACAGCCCATAGTACACCGGATTAGGGTCCTGACTCCCTATTCCCAGGGGCACATCCTGAGTTACAACAATTTACGCCAAACAGAGACTCTGCTCCCTAAAGCCTGTCACGACTGATGAACCAAGAGTCTGATCAGCACATTTTCGGGTGCCCCATTCCTTTGCTGTAGCTGCTAAATACGCCGGCTGCAAACCTACGAGGTTCTCAACTCATTTGTTCCTCTGCCCAGGACATGGCGGTGTGACCACCTGCTTCACCGTGGGTTAGCACCTTTAAGAAATGGTCACTCCAACACTGGGATCGAGAAGTTCAGAGTCGGGCGATTTTCAGTTTCAGTTGCTTGGAATCCTCATCAGCCAATCAAATTGTTCCTTTGGTTGAAGCCATCACAACCACATCCTTTTTAGAGTCACAGAAGCCCAGAGCAGAATGAGTCATTTGGTCCCCTGGTAGTGAGAATATTAGTACATTGCTTTCTTGGTTTCTTCCTCTTTTCTTTTTTTCATGCAGACATGGGAGAGAGATAATGTCCATACTGTTGACGATCTGTCTCTTTGGCTGGTGATACCCACCCTCCCGGCTCTCCTTACATTACCATAAGCAATGACTTCTTCGGAATAGATCTGGTCCTGCGTGGTCCCGTTTAGGAAGGTTATTTGTTGTCAGAGAATTCAGTGCTAGCTGTACAACTCTTCGTGTTGACAGGTTTCCTGCTGCTGCTGCCCAGGTTGACTCAGACACATAAGAAGTGCCACCCCCAGATAGACCAATGGTCCACCTAGCTCAGTATCCTGTCTCCAGAAGTGGCCAGTAAGAATGAACATGTCATTTCTCCAGTCAAGTGTTGGGGTGCACATTCCTGGAGGGGGCTTGCACCCTCAAAGTATACAAGACGGCACTCCTGACCGGCCACCAACCGCCACATTGCAGAGAGGGGCAGCCAGCTCTAAGCCTCTTTTCCTTTTTCCAACTGATTATTTCTTTCTGTTTTCTTCCTTCAGTTTTGTTTTCTAAAATTCCCTGTGTGATATTTAAAAAAAAAAACCCAGACAAACAAAAACAGCCCCACACCCTAGCCCACAGATGGCAAAACCCCCTGGGATGGTAGAGGTTAAGTAGGCCACTCAATGGGTGAAATATTGTGAAACCCCATTTTGTTTTACACCAGTCAACTGGAGGGCTACCGGGCCCTCCCATTGTTACTGACTGGAGGGGAGGAGAAGGGAGCATTAAGCAACATGAAAAATGCAATTTCATTATATATGTGGGAAAATAATCAAACTAGACCCCCCCCCCCTTAAGGCTGGTTTGTGATACGACTCTCTCAAGGCAAGAGTGCGCATAGGGGACATTCTGGCCTGGAACGGAGCTCCGGAAAGTTGGAGCCACCACTAGGATATGACGGAAAGAGTCAGCATTAGACCCGAGCCAGCAGTTTAACCTGATATTTCCTAGGATCAGAGAAGTCAGGGGCAGAAGAGACCCATACGGCCATCCAGCACATAGCGCTGCAGTGAGGGGCGTTCCCCAGCAAAGCGCAGCTGGGACTCAAACAGAAACTGCAATGGGAAGTTCTGTTTAGTGCTGTGTGCCTCCCTGTGGGCCTGATCCCTCCGGGGGGTGTGTGTTTTCTATTGACTTCAGGGAATCTGCCCAAAGCTGGCATGGTGAATGGTGCGCAGCCAACCAGGACCGGGAGAGGGACGCTGCTCTACAGAACAGCATGAACAGGGGTTGAGGGAAGGGTCTAAGCCCCGCTGGGAAAGGCAACAAGTGGGCCTGCAATTGTAGGGACTGCGACGAAGACTCTCTCAAGTCTCCTCGCTAGGAGCCGGAGCCCTTGGAAAGGCTCCTATTGACTTCAAGAGGCTTTGAATCAGGATCAGGAGGGACCCAACCAGAGAGGGCCCCGCTGGCATTTGCCAGCCTTGCCCACCTCTAAGTCCACCCTGCACAGAGGACAAAGGCCTCTCCCCGCCATCCCCCACTCCATTGGCCATTTTTTTCTGAGAGGGAGAAGGGCGAATAGAGGCAGGAAAGGACAAGCAGCAGCTGTGTGAGGGCAGGCGGCGGCAAGAGGCAGCGGAAGGAGGAAGAGAGCTGCCAACCGGCTCCGGTGTGTGTCTCTGCCAGCGGGAAGAGAAAGGAAACGCGGCAGTCTGCAGCGGGGGCTGGGCTTGTGGTCGGGCAGGGCTGGCCAGCCTCACTCGGAGTGGAGGGACAAGGCCACCTTGACACAGGCGAGCTGCTTGGCACCGTTGCTCAGGACAACCTGGATGCGGTAGTCGCCATTAGTCAGCCAGGAGGGCAACTGTATGACGGGCAAGTAGAACTCAGTGGATGGCAGGGAATAGGAGCCCTGAGGAGGGAAACAGATGCCAAGATGTTAGCACACAGCAGCTCCCGCCTCACCCCACCACCGGCCTCTCCTGCCCCAAGGTACAAGCTCACTGAGGGGTGACCCCACCAAGCTTTCGGATTCTACCCCCATCTGCTCCCTGCCCTGCACCTCTTGTGGAATCTCAGTCATTATCAAGATGAACAAATCAAGCATGTTCGAATATCCATAACTACTGATCACTAATTACTTCCCCACCCTGCAGCCCACTGTCCGGTGATTTCCAGGTCAGCCTCTCTGCTTGGTTCAGAGATCTCAGCACCTGTGGGTTTCTGCCTGTATTCCCCTATGTTCCTGGGCCGCATTTCCACTGTCCGGGCTAGCTCAGTACGACTGGCTCCGGCAGTGTCTGGAAGGTGACTTTCTCCACTCCAGCCAGCTTCACCGCTGCAGGTAAGTTACTTCCTGCCCCTGATCTGGGAGACTTTCCCAGGCCAGAGCGAGTCCAGCTGCCTTTGGGGCAGTGTTTCCCAGCAATGTTACAAACAGCCCCCAGATGGCAGCAGCGATCAAAGCGAGCTGACACCCCATCAAATCCGTCTGGAACCATCCTTCTTTGGCCAGTCGAAGCGCAAGATCCAGTGATCACGCAGCGACTGAGCCCCTCCTCAGGGACTCCCTCGCTCCCAGCCTAGCCCACAACTCTGGGGGCCTTCCTGCGCTGCTGACCCACAACGGCTGCAGAATGCCCCCAGGGATGGGGAGGCAAAGCCCAGACCTCCCTGGGGTGGGCCTGCTGGACCCAGACTCTGCCTGATTCCCCACTGCCTTGCACCATGTGTGCAAAGTGGGTGCTTCGGATTGGGTCAGAACAGGTCCATCTAGTTCAGGACCCTGTCTCCACCAACAGCCAGTTCCTCTGACCTGACCCCCGGGCTGTAAGGCAATGGAGAATCCAGCCAACAGACATGGTGCCCTCTAACTCCCCCTTCTCTCAGCTGCCGATTTCTATCCTCTCTCCTCCCAGTACTTTAGGTGGAGAGATAGCTCAGTGGTTTGAGCATTGACCTGCTAAACCCAGGGTGGTGAGTTCCATCCTTGAGAGGGCCACTTAGGGATCTGGGGAAAAATCAGTATTTGGTCCTGCTAGTGAAGGCAGGGGGCTGGACTCGATGACCTTTCAAGGTCCCTTCCAGTTCTAGGAGATAGGATATCTCCATTCATTTATTTTTATTGACTCGCAAAGCCCCTTTCCCAGCACACAGATAGCTGACTGAGAAGGCACGGGGAGAGGAGGGCTGCCATGCTGAGCAGGGGTCCTGGACTTAGGGGGTGTGACCACACTGCCCTTTCCATGGCACTACGTGACAGGACGCTCCCTGCTGGCTCGTGGCTACACGGGAAGCAGGGAGTCCTGACAAGGAACATGCGGAAAATGGCTGGATTAGCGCTTACCTGTTTGAAGGGGCAGTGACAGGGGATGCCGTAGCTGAGTAGAGGCTCAGGGCATGGTGATCCGGGGGGGATGACGTTGTCCAGCATTCCGCAAAGGCCATCATACGTGCAGCTCCCGATCTGGTCCACACAGGGGATCTTTATCCATATGTCAACTATCTTCTTCTCCACGGTAAACACCGCCTGGGACAAAGGGTTGCACACATCACATACCAGAGAATCCCAGCTGGTACGGTCTCCCCTCCACCCTTCTCCTGCTCCAGGAAGCCTTCCTCTGTAAGCTTGCCATACACCAGTTTTCCTGACCAATTGGCCCATGGCCCGTTATGGTTTCTCTTGGTGGTTTTAGATTGTAAGCTCTTCCAGGCTGGAAAAGCACCTTCCTAAACTGAAGGCACTGGGACTACTCCAGATGGACAGAGCAGAAACCAGCCCTATGTCTGCAAAGTGCTGAGTTCTTAGGGCACAATGCAAGATATTTTTAGGAACAAAAACACCTGGGGAAACCTTCAGCAGGCCGTAGGTTTCCTATTCAGAACAGCTCAAAGGAGACCCATCCTCTTTAATTCTGGTCCCGGAAAAACACATGACTCTACCCAGATTTGAAACCCTCACTATCTCTCTGTGGCTCCCCTAACACAGCGGGACCTTGATCTAGGCAATTTCCAAGCATTACCACAACACAAACATGAAATAACAGCGATGGGAACAGCAGTAAAGGCTGTGAAGTCTTGCCCTTGGAGATGCTGGCACACAGCTCCCGCCGAACTCCAGGGCAGAATTTGACCCGCTCTGATTCTTTGGCATGAGCAGCAGCGTGATAAACCACCCCAAGGAGCAGCAGAAAGTCAATCCAGAGCCACATTCCACTAAATAAAAGAAGCGGAACAGAAATGTACTGGCCTGGGCAGCAATTCCTGTTTCGCCTGGCTGGGTGTTTGGCTCTGGTGCAGCTGCCCGGCTGAGGGACAGGAAGCACTTGAGAGGCAGGGGTGAAAGGCGGGCTAGTTCTTCTATAACTTCTGCAATCACAGCTGTGTCCTTGAGTCAGCCCCGGTTTCTTCCTGCCCTGAATCCCAGCAGCCATCTCTCTGCCTGCTGCAGCCAGGACAGGTCATGCCCTGCGTCCTCGGTTAGGCCAGAGGTAGTTGGGCGTGCCAGGCTAGCAAAGGGGAATTCCACTGGCTCAGCCCAGCGCTGGCAGTGACCTTGCCCAGATGTAAAGAGCAGGGGAGAATCAGGCCTGCTATCACTCGCTACGCACACTCTTGGGAAATAACAACATCACCCCATCAGCACTGGCTCTGCAGGCGGGGCTGCCTGCTGGTTAACACCCTGCATCAGAGTCCTGCCCCTGCAGATCAGGGCCCAGGGCAGAGCGGGTGTAACTGCCCCCACCTGGCCAAGCCCTCGCCCGTCACACTGACACGAAGAAGGGCAGGCCGGGGCTCGCAGTGTCACTGATGGGAAGGGAGCCCTGTAGCAAGGCCTGCCTCCCCCTGCCGCCCACACCATCACATGATCCAGCTCGCACGGCAGGGGAACTTGGTGAACCAGAGCCACCAGCAGCCCTTCTGCTTTCAGCGAGGCTCAGGAACAGCTGAGCCGGCTGCTGCAGCCTTCGCCATAGCCCTCCCGCCTCCTCCAAGGGGCACACGCCCTGCAATGCCCACCCCTCAGCCGTGTTTGCAGCCTGGGCGGTGCGGGTCACTAATCTCTGAAGGCCAGACCCTCTGCCGGGGGTCCCAGGAAGGCGTGTGAGCTCAGGAGGGCCCCAGCCCCCCAGCTGCAGCAGGTGCTGTGCACGTGTGGAGGAGTTTTAAGGAAGGGATTCTGTTAGTTATCGGCGTCTCCGCAATCAGGAGCCTAGTCTGGCATTTGGGGGTGGGTAATGGGTCTGCTCCCCCTGGCTGGCGTTCTGGGGAGGGGGGTCACCTGGTAGAGAGGCATCTCCCACCTGCCCCTCTGCATCTCCTGGTGTCCTATCCCTCCCCCCCTTCCTCTTCTCTCGTTTCAATTTCCAATGAAGGTTTCCCCTTTTCTCTTCCCCTCCTCCTGACCTTAATCTGACTCCCACACTCAGAGTCTCCGATTTCTCTGCCCACCAGCATCCCCCTTCTCATTGCTTCTGTGTTCCCTCCTTCCTCTCACTCCCTCCCCCTGTGTTTCCTCATTCTCTGAACACCCCTTTGTGGCCTTTAGCTCGGTGAAATCATTCCCCACCTGGGCGAGGAAAGATCAAGGAAACGGCCCCCGTTGGAGCTCGCTGCATCTAAAACTCTCGGCCTTATTCTCAACGGTGCTGAGCGCTCAGCAGGTCCCACTGGCTTCGCTGGATCTGCGGGTGCCCAGGATTTGCCAATCAGGCCGTGGAAGTTTCGGTGCCCGCCTTCCTCAGACTTGGCTGCGTTCCCTCAGAGCCTCATTCATCACCCCAGCCTAACACAGACGCCGCCAGGTTGCTCCAGGGAGCGGGAGGTGGGAGCAGCTTGGAGCTTACCCAGTTCCATTTCGCAGGCCGGGCCCACGGGGCAAGGAGAGGGGGTGGGAAGTCACAAGGGAGTGACTACACACCAATCAATGGGCTGCTTTAACTTTCCAGAAGGGAGGGGAATAGCTACTGTGGTACGAGCACCTTGCTGCCCATATAACTGCATCCGTCCTAGGGGTTGCACTGACCCGTTTCAGTGAAAAGTTGCCGCCCAACAGCCAGACCGTGCACAGACCAAGCCAGAATAAGAAACTCTGGGCCCTGGAAACCGACTGCAGCAGTGGAAGGTCTGGGGCTGGAAACACGCCCCAGGTCTAGCAATCCCCGTTTATTCACACCTGTTGGGCATTTCAGAGAATCGAAAGGCCGCCGGGGCCAGGTGCTGTGGTGGCTTTGGGCACATTCTTTCCCAGCACTCCACAGCACGTTAATGGGCAGATCCTGTGTCTGAAGAGGCCTCTCTGGCGGGCTTGCCTGTTTCACATACCTTCAGAGGGGAGCCGATGTCAACTTCACTGGAAACCGCCACGCTGACTTTCAGGTTCCCAGGGATTTGGATCGGGTCCGGGGCTACGGACAGACTCTTAATCACAAAGGGATCGGTCCCCTTGCCACAGTTCTGCCACGAGAAGCCACCAACCTACAGGATTGAGCGAAGGAAAGGGTTAAACGGTCTCTGTACTCAGCTGGGCTGGCTGGAAAGAGGCAGTGTAGAGTTCTGGAGTGTGACAGCCCCTCAGAATTCTATTGTGGGGACAGAGAACTCCATCCATTTCACACACACACACACACACACACACACACACACACACACACACACACGACGACAT